CGCCAGGAGGCGGAGGTACGCGGTTGTCTGACGGAGCCTTTGCCCTCGGAGCGCACAGTCTGCGGTGCCCTCTCACTGGCCCGTGCCCCCTTCACACTTGCACATAGCCGGGCAGAATTCTTCCCCGCGCCGAGGCTGGGAACACACAAGCACGCGGGCCGGGGCGGGGACAGCGACCGGACGGGACCGGTCAGCTCTGGGACTGGTAAGCTAGAGGTGATCGGGAACCCCGACCCTCACCGCCTAGACTGGGGGAAATAGACGTTCTTTCACCGGAAAAGCCCCCAGGGGCTGTAGCGGAGGGCGTCCTGCTGACTGCCTGGACTCTGGGAGAGCCTTGGCCTCCAGCCAACTCGCGGGCTCCCCTGCTTAGCTAGCGCACTCGTTTAAACAGCTCTGAACCATGTTCCCTCCATGTACTGATAAGGAGCTTTAAACAGTACTTCAGGACTGAATTTGAAAGGGGTGGTGGTGGTGGTGGGGTGAACCAAAGATTTCCCATTTCTCTCTTCTGCAACTGACTTGACTTTGTGCTGCAGGGTTGCACAAGGGGGGATTTTTTTTTCCCTCCAAGATGGGGCGGGAATCGATTTTGGGGCCATCTGTTTTCCACATAAAGGTGATTGTAACAGCATAGCAGTATCATTTCTTTCTTCCCCGAGGAAGCATCTCCGTGTTATCCTTCTCAAGGATAGGATCCGTTGGCCACTATTCAGATGTGATGTACATATATTCTAAATCACTGATCCCAGTGCTCTGTCCTGAGACTTGCTCCTCTAAGAATTTCGTTCTTGCCCTAAAGCAGACATTTGGGAGCTTCTAGGTATCCTCCCTACTCCCCTTTCCTAGAAGGGGCCAGGTGAATTTGGGAACCCTCCAGAAAGAGAATGGCCTCTCTGAATGAATCTTTTTTTTCACCTGCCAGCTCCTATCACTGCTCCGGAACATTTGTTTCTGTTTTTGCAGAACTGGGGATTGAACCTATGTCCTTGAGTGTGACGAGCAAGTGCTCCACCACAGAGTTATCTCCCCAGCCTTTAAAAAAAAATTATTTTGAGACAGAGTCTCACCACGTGGCCCATACTAGCCTTGGACTTTGAATCCTCCTGCCTCAGCCTCCCCAGCAGCTGAGATTACAGGTATTTGCCACCACACCCAGCCTCTGAAATACTTGGGAAAGAACTTGTTCCAACAAGGGATCCTCTCGGATTGCTTGAGCCCCTCCCCTTCCAGGCCCTGGTCTCTTTCTTTGTGCTCTGTACTTTTGTATAGTCAAGAAATCACATTGTTTCTGTGAATTTGGACTCTTACAATATCACTTACAGAGTCCCTGGGCCCCAGGAGATGGCTTCTACCAAGCCAAGTCTTGTTAAGGGTCTCACTCCACCTCCCACCGAGTTCGGTCCTGGGCCATCATTGGCAGGGGAACAGAGACAGTATTTCTGCCACCCATGCCTGTGGTGGCCCCAGATGGAGAGAATTTCATCTTGGGATATGCTTGGGAAACTTAATATCTAGCAGATTGAGTCTCTTTCAATCTAATTAACATAAATGGGGGAAGGGGATTTTTAACTCTGAGCATAAGAAATACTTTAAAAGCACAAAAACTCTGGAAAGTATAATGTGTCTGTTGTCTGTGCATGTACATACATACACATAAATGTGTGAAATTGTGTACGAATCTGTGTCTCTATATGGTTAACTGCATGGGCTTCCAGACTGTATGCAAACCAGCGCAATTCATTTAACCAATGGGACTTAAAAATACCTATTTCACAAGACTGGGGTATGGTTTCATGGAGATAAATGTATGTAAAATCCTCAGTATAGTTTCTAGTACATAGATATCAGTTGCTGTCAGTATTATTGATATCAAAATTATCTTTGTCATTATTTAGATAATATTATTTAGAGTCTTGGCTAGGTAGCTGGGAATGATGGTGCACATCTATAATCCCAAGTACTCCAGGAAGCTGAGGCAGGAAGATCAAAAGTTCAAAAACAGCCTGGACAGCTTAGCAAAATCCTATCTCAAAATAAAAGTATAAGGGCTGGGAATGTAGCTAAGTGGTAGAGTGCCACTCAGGTCCAATCCCCAGTCACACACACACACACACACACACACACACACACACACACGGTTCTGGCATGGAGACTACCTCTCCCCCAACAATACCACAGGACAAAATGTGTGAGGCAACTATTTTCAATATTGGACAATAAATACCTTAGAGATGCAGTTCCTTAGAGGTGGTGTTGCAGTAACTATGACTATATCACAAATTACCCCAAAACTTAGTGAAATAAAGCAATCCTTTATTAAGTCCCCAGATACTGTGGGTCAGCATTTCAATCAGGGCACTCAGGGCAGCTTATCTCTGTTCTAAATGTCTGAGGCTGGGCTCCTCCAAAGGCTGTTTACTCACATTTCTGGTCCTTGGTGCTGGTTGTCGCCTGAGGGACTCAATTTTGGGCCATGTCCATCTGTCCACATGATCTCTCTCCGTGGGCTCCTTTGGGCTTCCTCATAGCATAGTGAGTCTTAAGGATGGTGGGGTGGGGGAGGGAGAACAAATTAATCATTTTTATGACCTAGACTTAGAAGTTGTTTAGCATCACTTCTGCTGTACTCCACTGGCTGGAGCAGTCCCAAGCCCCACCCAGGTTGAAGGGGAGGCAACCTCCAGCCTACACTTGGTGGGACAAGTATTTGTAGGACGAGTACAAGAATGGGAGATACCGTTGTGGTCATTTAGGAAAATACAGTCATCCCAGAAGGGAAACACAGAGTGAGCCTTACGATCACCGTGGCTCTTAGCTCTGGGATAATTTTCAGAGTGCGGGGAATGAGACCTCAAAAGCAGATCAAAGTCCAGCTGCGCTGAGGTGGCAAAAGCCAGAGTTCAGGGCTGGTGAGGCAGCTGGAATCCATGGAGTAGTGCATCACAGAGGAGAGGATGGCAGTGAAAGGGGTTCCCATAAGTCTGTGTGGGGGTCCACTGCAAACCCTCGCCTGAGGACCACGCTGGTGTGTGCAGGTTGAGACTCTGTGAGGCTTAGCAAAGAACAGCTGCTGTGTAACTGAGAACAGAAGACTATAGAAGTTGGAGAAGTTCTGGGACGTGGTGAAGGTCTGGCCCAGACAAAAAAGGAAAATGCCTGAACACACTGCGGGTAAGGAGCATGGTCTAAAGTAAGACCTGCTCTACAAAGCTCAGAAATCGGTAGACATGAAATATTTCTTTCCTTGTCATAATTTTGTGAAAGGACAGCTGTTTAAGGCTAAACAATGACATGGTAGGCTGGACTTATGACAGGAGCACAGGGTGTGGGGGCAGGAAAACAATCCTACGGTTGTAAATCAGGAGTGTCAGGTGTGAAGTAGGAAATGGGATGTGTTAGTGGGAAGTGTAAAGCATTCTGATGTTGGTACAATATTAAGTCTAAGTGGACTAAAATAGGTTAAGGATGTACTAAGATGGTTTAAGGAAGCCACACACACACATACACACACACACACACACACACACACACACACACATGCACGCACGCACACCAATTTAAAAGCAAGCCTTGACAAGATCTGCAGACTAATTTCTGCCTACCTTTTTATATCTTGGAAATTCCATATGATTGGATCACATAAAATGTAAAATGTGGTCTTTTGTGACTGGATAATTGGAGATTTTAATATTCCTCTTTCAATAATGAGTAGAACAAGTAGGTTTTAAAAAAATCGGTAAATATGTGGAAGACTTGATCAACACAGTCAATCATCTTGACCCAATTGATACTGACAGAAAACTACACTTAAGGACTACAGAATATATGTTCTTTCAAGTGAATTATTTACCAAGTTAACCCATATATTAGATCATAAAATAAGTATGACTGCATTTCAAAAATGGAAATCTTGCAGATTATGTTCTCTGACCAAAGCACAAGTAAATTAGAAATCTGATGTGGTGGCACACACTTGTAATCCCAGCACTTGGGACGCTGAGGCAGGAGGATAGCAGCAAGTTTGAGGCAGGCCTGAACTATATAGAGAGATCCTGTCTCAAAAAAAAACCCAGGGCTGGGGATGCAGATCAGTGGTGCAAGTGCCTGCCTTGCAAGCGCAAGGTCATGAATTTGATTCCCAGTACTAAAACAAAACAAAACAAAACCACAAATAAATAAAAATTAGAAATTAATAATAAGATATTTAGCAAGTCCCACATATTTTGAAATTAGACAACACATTTCTAAATCATCCCTGGGTCAATGAAATCACAGAATTAGAAAATATTTTGAAACTGACTAATAATGAAAACACAGAATTTCATACTGACATTTTGGGATGTAGCTAAATTAATGATTAGAATGACATTGACAGCTTTAAATATAGTGGAAAAGAAGAAAGGTTTTAGATCAACCATCAAAATTTCCACTGTAAAGAAACAAGGAAAAGAGTAGGTTTATCCCAAGGGACCTAGAAGGGAAGAAATAATAAAAGCTGTGTGACTGTAGGCTTGTTCCTCACTTCTCTGAGCTGTACTTCCTCCTTGTAAAATAAGGGGACTTTTCTTCCCAGTATTAGAATTAAACTGAGGGCCTCACGTTTATGAGGCTGGTGCTCTACTACTGAGCTACCTTCCCAGCCCTTTTAAAATTTTTAATTTGAGACAGCCTCACTAAATTGCCCAGGCTGGTCTTGAACTTGCAGTGCTCCTGCCTCAGTCTCCAAGTAACTGGAAATACAGCCATGTGCCACCATGCCTGGGTAAGGAGGCTAAATTTCTTAGTGACTTACTAAGATTTTCTCTAGCTCTGACATTGATTGTGTG